GATAGTCATAGACTCAAGTAGTACAATAAACATCAGATCACCTTGGATAGATAGTTTATAAGCACGACTTTATACATCCTCATTTCAATGATCACTCGTCTCGTCGACTTTCTCTCGTCTCAGCAAGCCACCAAATACACGCTCACGCCGATATTAATAACCGCCGGAGGGAGGAAAGTGTGGCGCACAGACCTAGGAGGCAGATTTATGGACAAGATGATGCAACTGACATCATCTCGACGGATCTGAGACTTGAAATTTAGGCAGAGTTTTCCAAATTAAGCTTTATGCGCGCCACAAGACTTCGTTTGCGTCAGTACAGGAAACACTTTAAATTTCGCCATAGATGGACAGTCCGGTGATACATAATCTGGTTTGATTTGTTCGTTAACGTGCTAGGTAAAGTGACTACCGTTGCACTTCTACTGGTGCATAAGCACTGGTGGGGCCGGGCTGAATCAGGTTAACTATCATAAAGTACATCTACTTCGTCGTAGTGCTAAGCGTTTTTCTTCTATTTAGGAGAGGACAAAGTTCCATTCGGAAGTTTGCCCGATCCGTGCCAATTGACTCATGTCCATGTGAGAGTCCCGCGGTACAGCGCTCACAACACCCTAACAAATTCATCTTTCAAGGCCTTCAGGCTCCCAATTTAGTGTTATACAGTTTAGTACGTGGTTGTCACCATGTCCTCCAAGGGATGGGGCCCTAGCCATAGCTGAAGCTCGGTAGACCTTTAAAAATAAATACATCTACCTTGTCCCACCTAAATGACCAGTCCTCTTCAGCTTGTATCCTCATTTGTTCCTTCACACAGCATCCCTCTGTCCTTCAGCCGATCTCGTCATCCCAGAAACTTTGAAGAATGTCCAGCCCTCCGGCCTTGCCCCGTCGCTGCCGCACCACTAACCGTGGAGGTCGAAAACGCGACTGAGAGCTCAAGACCGAGGCACCGGTGCCCCAGCCTATGTCGAAAGCTCTGGTTGGTGTGCCGGCGAAATGTCGTACGTATTTTGTCGGTGGCGATTCGTCGTAGGTCGAGTTGTTGGTGCCCTTGGCCGAGGTGAGAACGCATTTAAGGCCGGTATTTCGACCATACCTTCACAGCGACTGGCAGTTGCGGAGGGTCGGACATCCTCTTGCTTCTTTGTTGGCGATTTGGGTTTTGAAGGTATAGGATTGCTTAGGTGGGTGGTGAGATGATTTTGGCTGAGAATAAAGTTCCAGAGAAAAAGAAAATAAGACCTTGAAGGTGTCAGTTTTTGTAATTCGAACATCAGACAGGTTATAGGCTGTCTGCGGTTCGTATCTGGGGTGTAGATGGCTGATTTCGTTGAGTTGTGCAGTCGTGAAATCTCTGCAGGTCGGATTTTCGACCAAAAATGAGCCGACACCACTCCTCCCGATGGCCAACTCGACGAAATCTCTCAAATCCACCCTTTGTCATGACTGAATCTCGGCTCTGGGAGGATATTTCACTCCCAGGCTCGTAGAGGACACCGCTGACAGGTGTTCAGCATTCGTCCTCCGAAACATCACCTGGGCCGGTCTCCGAAGTAACTTCTAGATAAATTAGATTAGATTTTATTATAGTCTCTACCGAGTCTAAGACTACGACAGACTCCTAAAAGCTGCTTGAAGCACTTTAATTTTATTTGGAACATGCCACTTTAGTGTCTTCAATTGTTCTAATTGTAAATTCTGGATGCCTTGGGCACATTTCCCGCTCGGGACAAATAATCATAGGTTTGACCCTTGTAGTAATTCCCTATTCCTCTCGTGGAACTTATTTACATGGGTCATAAAGTTTGACATGAATAACTTGGGGGCTTGAATTTCCCTCCGGTAGCTACCCTTACGGAAGGGTTGAATGTGTGTGTTTATGTCTTTATTGTACTGCTTGAGTCATAGACTATATAGCACATCAGGCTCCTCTCTGATCCGGGCCACACCTGTACAGTGCTGCTTTTTTATTTTTGTTACGTGAAAGATCTCCGGTGTATTGCCCATTAGAAATAGCCATTCAGCTCAGTATTTACCTATGGAATTCAGCCACCTTTTCCACGGAATCTTCACCGAAAAAAATAAAAATAGTAGCAATGGAAACTACGACCACGGGGCAACGTCTCAAACTCTAAAATCACAGCTACACGAGGTTTGCTTATCTGATTTAAAAAAAAAGTGTATGCCAGTCCAAATTTCTTCCTTTATGACATTAGAGGCCGACTTAATCCAATCGAGCGTCGCCGTATCGTGTGCTGGGTATGCTCCAGAAATTCATCTTATAGCTTCTTCTCCATGATCAAAGGTGGCTGACGACTAGACTTGGAACCCGCTACAATATCTGATCGTGATTAGCCTCATGATAATGGTAATAGGGGGTTGTGCTGAGAGATGAAGACGATACAGATGGCGAAAGCGACTGAGAATCCTCATCGAAGTGGAGACCCTCACACCATGATACATGGGCCATATCAGTGTGTAATAATTCTATATTTATATAGGAGGTATTCTCAGCAGCGATTTGGCCGCTTTTAACGTCCGATATTTTTCAATCCATCAATAGTCTATGATCCAATGTATAGTCCCTCTGTACCTTGAGCGCTTTAGTATGGCCTCGAAGAGCGATCTTGAGCACTTTTCCGCATGTCAGCTTAATCATCAGATATGGAGGGCAGACGACTTTGGATGCTCGGGATTTCATGATTGATACGCGTGTAGACAAGTCGGCCTAAAGACTCCCAGCACTTTTCTGCTTAAAATTTGGGCTCAATGTGCTCCATTCGAACTTGCATAGCCGAACGGCTTCGGCCCCTAGTCGAGTTTCAATGTAGAAGAATCGAGATTCATGGAAATTATTTCTTGCCTTTCGAATTCTCCACCCCGACAGAGCTCGGCCGCTTTCCAGGGTTCAGGGTCAACTAGAGTCAACCGTCTAGACTGTAGAGTTCAGCCCTGGTTGCACCGGCATATTGCCCACTCATGGCATACCGCAAACTTTCCCAGCTCTTGCTGCAAGTTTTGAGTCGGTATATCCTGCATCTTTCTGCAATGTGCTCGATTATTCTCGCCCTTTCCGCGGGAAGCTCAGTCTTACTAGGGGTAAATAGAGTTGTCTTTCGAGCCGATAGGTTTAACATGCGACCGATGTATTAAATCCTATGGTACCTTGGGCAGATTTCTATTGGAAAGGCGTTGGGTTGGTGTTCTAGCACACTCTTGCAAGTCAATATAAGTATTAGTGTGACAATTTGCAGGCAAAATTTTTGTGGGCTTTTTAGCGGCTTAGCAGTCCTTTCATCTATCCTAACACCTGACTCGTCCTCGGCTCCTGTGTTTATGAAGAATTGTAGACATCAGAAACCATCATGCACTAGATTTGGAAAATACCACCGAATCTTTGCGTTTTCACAGCAGGGCCAACCAGTTGCTAGCTACAACAAAAGGTGCTTTGGAACCTCTAATTATGGCAGCAGGTCTCTGCTCTCTACATCATGACCGCGCGAGATTGGATGAGTGAGAGTGGGATGAAAGAGATATGTTCTTTAATCACGGTGGATTCAGCTACGGGGCTCTGACACAACCTTCTTCATATAACCTAACCCGCTAAACTTCCTGAAAGATCTTGGTGTAGCAATACAGCCTTCAAAGCCATCGTATCAGTTTTCAAATTTACGATCCGGATGTGGATCCCGTTTTGCATGACCATGTACATGGACAATTTGATCAGACTCCTTTTCCTGTGCTAGGCTGAAATGGGATTGGATGAGTGAGATGTGCCTTTGGCGTTCAGACTCTACGTGATGGAGCAGGTCGGATGGTGTACCAAAGATCCATCTGGGATCGGGGAACTTTTGGAGATTGGATGCCGGGCCGGTCTAGTTCCTGATGCGGCCTGGCCCGGACAGGGGGTCATGTTCTGTCATGTGTAAGCGAGGCGCTAGAAGGCCAGCCGGCGTTGGTCAAACAGCATCATGTGATGGCACGTTACTCTTGGGTTGAGAGAAGTGCAGATTGCTGGAGATAAACAGCATGGACCGTGGACAGAGCCAGTACGAGGGGTGGCAGGCAGGGGCCCTGGAGATTGTCTAGGAGACCTGGCCCCGGCGGCGGCTGAGAGGGAGCCGCTCGGCAGGCGTGTCTGTCGGCGACGATTTGTCCACTGATAAGAAGGCCGCAATAGTAGTAGCAGCGGGGCAGATAGGTCAGATCCAGGGGAAATGGAAGATCCTACATGGCGGGGAAAGGAAAGATTCAGCTTCTATCGGCCCTTCCCTCCGCCGCGCGCGCGTCATGCTACGAAGCCGAGGCAGTGGTAGTAGTGTCAGCCAATCCAACACAACCTTGCCCGGGCACTCTCCACTCCTTCCATTAGCTTGGCTGTAGTCCTACCACTCCCGCCATCTTTGCCGCCTCTCATTTCTGGCAATCTTATCAGCGCGCTCATTTACGGCCGGAGCGTGGTGCCAGCTGAAGCGAAGCCACGGCGCTCCCAATGGCAGGCGGCGTGGATCGTCGGTCGGCCTGCAGGCGAAAGGGAAGCTGCCGGACTTGAAAAAAGGGGCCGCCCTGCTCTTCCTTCCAGCACGTGACCCCGTGACGTTGATTGGGGCAGTCAGATGGATCTGTGCGCCTGAAGCGACTGCGGCCCCCACTTCCCCATCTCCACTCGTCCATCCTTTCACCAACCTCCGTCTGCTCCTCCTCAGATAAGACGCACTGTCGCCAACACTTGCTTTTTAGAGCGCCGCCATCCCTTCCTGGGTCCGCGAGACGAAGCGTGTCGGCTGCATCTCCCCCCAATGTCTCCGCCCCAGATAAGACGTTGAGTCCCAATTTGCTTGCGACTCAAACAAACCGAAACGCCACCCATCATCACTTCCCGCTCGTCACTCCTCGCACTTTCCGCAGTCTGCGCCGTCGAGAAGGCGCTATTCCTCCTGTCCTCAACGCCCGTTCTCACACCAATACCAACACTGTGCAGAACCCCCTCTGCCTCCATGCATCCCTTCCTCGACAGTTCCGTCAGTATGTCGACGCCCCGCTATCAATTGCGCCCGCCAAAGTCACCACTCTACGTGCCGGCCGTTTTACGTCCAACTGAGCCACCACGACGCTTAAAACAAGAATCCCAGACGCCGACTTCCCCTCGAAGCTTGCATGAGGAAGCCTTGCGTATGATTGGGACGGCTGATAGTAGCAAATACGGCATTGATGGCGAATTTGGCATTCCCGAAGCCGTGATAAAGGGTCTCGGACAGGTTACTGGCCCACCAACTCGTGTGCACTGGAAGGTATGTGAATGTTGAAGACTATGCTTCTCGCTCTTACATCTCTTCTACCTTACCGACTTTGATTTTTCGCGCCGTGACATTGGCAATCACTTACAATATATCAGCCTGATGTCCTTTCAGCTCACTGCGATGATCCCTCTGGTCTTTGCACGCGCAACTTCACCACCTTTTATCGTCGACACCACTGCCGCCGCTGTGGCTTGGTATTTTGCCAATCACATTCCACGTATCTCCTTCCACTCGACCAAGACGCCAACTTTCATCCCAGGGGAGCCCGTACGCGCGGCTGCGAGAGCTGTTGGTTCCAGTGGATAAAATGGGTAGAAGTACGTCGAACAGCTGCTGTCAAGGCAAAAAAAAAAAATAGTACAGAGGTGGCTGCTATTCCAAAGCCGGTTCACGATGCAGAGGTTCATGCCAAAAATGTTGGTGAGATTTTGCCATCAAATCCAGCTTACGGAAAAGAACCTCGCCATCTATCTGTTCCATCAAATCTAGGCTCTGTCCCTCAAAGTGTACCTCGTGACTGGCATTGGAGTACCTTCTGATGCTCAGTATCCAGACGATGAGCACATGCATCCTATTTTCGTGCGACTGAGTTGTCAGTGCACGAGGGCGCCACCATCATAACAGCCATCTAGCTGAGTGAGAAGAGCAAGTCAAGCAACATCCTGAGCTTTCTCAACATGTTTCAGGCAAAGCCTGCTAGTATGAACTGTGACTTACGGTACTTTGGCATCCCACCTAGTCACAAAAAAATTGGAGGACACTCAGTCAATAATACCCAAAGGTCAGATGAGAACGTCACGACGACTCGAGTGTCCTTGACATTCTCACATCCCATCGTCAGACACGATCCCTTACACAATTGGAATTGGGATATTTCCCGACCCGGGGACCTTGCGAAAACTTGACTGAAGGAGAGCGGGATCCAACGAGCCGAGATAGGCATCAGGGTTCACACTGTTGAAGTGGGTCGAAATAAATTCCCGAATAGAGCCAATCAATCGCTGTCGATAGCGAAGTTAAGAGTAGATGACCATGACGCGCTTGAATCTAGCGAGGGACAATTTGTAATGAGTAGATTACTCAGTATTATACCCCTGATCCCGGCTCAATCTGAGCTTAGCAAATTTATCACGAGCAGGCTTGTATCTCAGGTGATATTGCGATAGTTGGGTGAGGTGCGACAGGTACAGAATGGGTCAGGGCAACGATGATTTAGATTACGCCAGGTAGAGGCCGGGATATGTTTCGGTAATCTGGATATAGCTTATCTCAACTTTTCCCCCTGTAGAAACTAAATTTTGTGTGGGCTAGAGCGGCCTGTAATTCCGTGAGTCCTTGGTAACGTGTCGCGTCGTCCATGTATCTGGATATGCACAGGGATTTCACTTCTACAATATCCCAGGCAATCTAATTATCCTGAGGCCTAGTGTTTGGGTAGTGCCTCCGGTTGAATTATTAAAGGAAGAGAGCCTCATATTATCTACATGCAGAGGAGAGAATGCGAGATTTTCACAGTATCACATGGAATGAGGACTTGAAAATATCCAACATGATTCTTAGTGAGTCTCAATTGCGGCGGGAGAACGTGACAGCTTAAAAAGTTTTTGAGATTACGATGGTGGTGGAACAGTAACGTAGAAACTACGATGGAGGAACAAAAGTGAAGAATATTGGATGTGCAGATGGACGACTTCAGTGAGCCAAACGAAAACTGAATTATGAACAGAATCTGCACATGAATGGAAGGGATTTATCCGACAAGGGGGAGTGTTGTCTTGTTCATTTCTTGTTCATTTACGTGCTAGGTAAAGTGATTCCAGTTGCACTCCTACTAGAGCTTAAGCACAGGTGGGGCCGGGCTGGATCAGGTTAATTACCATTAAGTACATCTACCTCGTCTCACATGAATTACCGAACCTCCTCAGACTTCACCCATGTGTTGAATCATGTCAGGCCCAACCGTCCAGAGAACCCCCTTTTGGCGCGCCGAATCGCAAATTCCTCCTCAGCCTCGGCCACCACGCGCCAGAGCCCTTGACACCTTCGCCGTCTGTAACTTTTCCCTTCGATTCATTCGCAGCTTTGGCTCATCTCATCCAGGGGTCGTTTTCTTCACTGGAGGCCTCATCCAGTCGCCCACCAAGGCCTCCGCAGTATGCATTCCCTTTTGATTCCTTCATACAACATCCCTCTGTCCTTCAGCCGATCTCGTCATCCCAGAAACTTTGAAGAATGTCCAGCCCTCCGGCCTTGCCCCGTCGCTGCCGTACCCCTAACCGTGGAGGTCGAAAACGCGACTGGGATCTCAAGACCGAGGCACCGGTGCCCCAGCCTATGTCGAACGCTCTGGTTGGTGTGCCGGCGAAATGTCGTACGTATTTTGTCGGTGGCGATTCGTCGTAGGTCGAGTTGTTGGTGCCCTTGGCCGAGGTGAGAACGAATTTAAGGCCGGTATTTCGACCGTACCTTCACAGCGGCTGGCAGTTGCGGAGGGTCGGATATCCTCTTGCTTCTTTATTGGCGATTTGGGTTTTGAAGGTATGGGATTGCTTAGGTAGGTGGTGAGATGGTTGTGGAGAGGGCCGCGAGATAAGTTTGGCTAGGAATGATTTTCCAGAGAAATAGAAAATAAGATGTTGAAGGTATCGGTTTTTGTAATAAGAACATTAGACAGTTTATAGGCTGTCTGCGGTTCGAATCTGGGGTGTAGATGGTTGATTTCGTTGAGTTGTGTAGTCGTGAAATCTCTGCAAGTCGGATTTTCGACCAAAAATGAGCCAACACCACTCCTCCCGATGGCCAACTCGACGAAATCTCTCAAATCCACCCTTTGTCGTGACTGAATCTCGGCTCTGGGAGAATATCTCACTCCCAGGTTTGTAGTGGACACCCTGACAGGTGTTCAGCCTTCGTCCTCCAAGGGGGAGTGTTGTACGGTTCACCCAGAAACGCGCTTCACGAGATGATGGCCAAGCCTAATTAGGTTAGATAAACTTGGCCGTTACAATTGAAATACTCTTTCGTGCGGGATGAAGGTAGAAGGTTAGATTAGATTAGATCTGAATTATAGTCCTAACTGAGTCATTGACTATTGAGGACTCCTAGAATCTATGAATAAGATACTAGCTGCATTTTATAAGTTCCAACTGTTTAACTCTGAATTATGCTTTCATGGACAGTGAGGGACAAGCCCTCGAAGATAGAAGGCGAAGAGTGAGTAACTAATAAACTACCATTTTGCAACGTAGTAATTTTGATTCACACAACGCTTTTCGGTATCGACAGAGAGACTTTAAATATCGCGAGCTTGGTGGCCGAGTTTGAGGAAGAATTTGTATTTCGTTGCGTTAAAATTGGATCGTCCGGACAGTTGGACTTAACATATTCAATTCGTGAGCATAGTCTGAGAATGTCTTGATGTTTAGTGGGACAAAGTTCGAGTATTTAATGGCAGGAAACCTGATACAGGCCGGCACCACTCGTGGTTGAGTTCTGAACGGAGTGCGGAAGCTGCCAATTACCTATCACTTTAATACACAAACTACTTGACCAGTTGTTATATTAACTAGGCTATATGGGAGCAGGACGGTGGATACTCTTGGGGAAGTTATGCTCACAGTAGGTCTCTACAGTCGCTGTCGCGTGTGTTCTCGTGATATGTAAGACTTGACTCTATATTCTCGTATAAAGGAAACTTTGTTACAATGAATAGATTGAGGTTGAGACCTCCTTATATCTTGCTCCAGACTTACTGTGTTGTTCACAGCCTAATACTAGAACATTCCCTTATGGTATCATTTCTCTCCTACGAGAAATGATCAGCTCGTTCTCTCTCAGTCTATCAGTCTCCCGCTGATTCCATTATCTCTATTCCATCGAGTTGTAGTTTGGTCCAGTATACCCACACATGCATTACACAATCTTTTTTGAAATCGATGAAAAATTCACCTACCCATCCCCTCAACCCTTCAATTCATAGTTTCACAAGCTAATTTCATCATTATCATAGTCGCAAGACCCTGAGTCTCCGAAATGGCGACGGGTCCTACGAAAATCACTCGCCCCGCGCGCCAGCACAAAGCCATGGCGAAAATTAAAATCAGGTTGCAACACCGCCTAGATGCAAGAAATCTATCGATCGATACGATAGATCAAGACAAGATGGAGTCAGAGATGACCGAAAGATTGAGAGTCTTCCAGGAAGACTCAGACTCAACAAACCCAGACGTGGAAATGGGCGATATGGTCATCGACCAATACATAATCGAGGGTCTCGACAAATCCAGATGGAATGTCGCTCAGAAAAATGATGATGTGGTCCCTTTGACCTCCGTCATTTCAACATCAAAGAAGATTGCTGCTCCTGCTGTCAAGAAGGCAGCAATTCCAGAGGTGAATAAGGCTAATCAAGCCACACCTGCTCAGATCGCCAGCAAACCCTCATCAGTGGCGACTGAAAAACAACAACCTTCCTGCAGCGAAAGCAGGAAACAAAAAATCATTGGCTGCCCCCCGGAACTACAAGCCATGATTGAAGCTGAAGAGCGCAGGGCAGCTCAAGCAGTAAAAAATATAATGATCTGCACTGCTGCGATCAATGCTGTCGAGACCGCGGTCTCCCTATACTCAGAAGAGTCGAGCGATCCGTTCATCGACTCGATGAAAATATATCTTCGAGCAGCCATTGCTCAATTCATGAAGTCGGGACCCAGTGCGGCCCCCCCAATCCTTCCATAGCGCCCAAGCTGCCAGGAAAACATGAGTTGTCCTATAACCAAGGCCAAAGAAAGAACTCCGATGAACAGTCAGGAGCTACAACGCCAAGTCACCCAGGCCAAATCGACCTGGGCAACAGTCGCCCGGGGCTCTCCCCAAAAGTCAATCGCTCCAGCGAAGACTGTTCGAGTCGCCCCAAACCCAGCAGTACAGGTCAAGAAACAAGCTAGACCTGTGACTGCAAAGCCAAAAGATGTTCGTCTGTTTCTTCGCCTCGGAGAGGAGCATGCATGGCGCGCTCTTTCGCCAGCTGGCGTGAGAGATGCCGTGACTAAATTGGTGGAGGTTCCATCCTCCAATATTGAACATGTGTATCGTGTTCCCACCGGCTTCGCTATGAAAGCCAAAAATGAAGAAGCACGCCAGCTCCTCTTAAACGCAGCAGAATCATTCAGCAGGGTTGAGGCTAAGTTGGAGACAGCCTCGGATCTGGCTGCCCTTCGAATCGCAACGGTTCCAGTGGCCCTATACACACTTATGGGCAAGGTTACAGTCACTGAGGAGATGGTGGCAGAAGAAATAACTCGAACCACCAAGGCGGTTCCTGTACGTGTCCGTCCACTCGGAAAGGGGCGAGTAGGAGCTCCTTACCAAACTTGGATAGCTCACTTCGAGAGAGCGTCTGCCCCTCGGCCGGGCTTCCGACTTTTTGACGACTCTGGAATTGCAGTTCGTCACCAGCCTAAACAGGCAATAAGCCAGTGCAAACGATGCCTGCAATTCCACGGCACTCGAGGCTGCTCACGTGCCCCAGCTTGCTGGA